ATTTAACATTTAGATTTAACATTTAAAATTCTGTTTTAAATATGAAAAGTTACAAATATTTTACTAAATGTTGTAAAAAATGACTTGTTTTGAGTTAAATGTGGAAAAGTGTTGCCGTTAATTTTAGCATGTTTCACTTTACAAACGGCGCCCCATATCATAACAGCCAAAATATAAACATACACTCTGTGGCTTTACTGGTTTGTGTGGCCAGACTGACTGATTATCTGGCTTGTTGCCTTTGAAAGGCCAACCAGCTGTAGCATGATATTTATCCGACATGAGATGTATGAGAATAATAATTGTGTTTAACAAGCTCCAGAGGGAAATAGCTACCCTGGCTGTGTCTGTAACAAAATCCACCTAAAACCAACTGTTTTACCTCCTTTGTTCCAGCGCACGACTTCCCATAAAACGCAGCTGTTTAACATTCTGGAGGTGAACCAGCGACAAAATGTGTTTCCCAGAATATTCCCTAAATAATCAAAAATAAACCAACAGCTGTCACCACATAGGTTTTATATTGCTTTCGTTTCACACTTTTTTTTATTCTGGTTTCAATCTTAACCATTTTTAACGTTTTTGAATACTCTCCAAAGCCAAGTCCTGTCTTTCCAAACCAGTTTGTGTCTCTGAGAGCAATTCTTTACCCGCTTTGTTTGTGGCGTGAATAGGCACCTGATAAGTTGCCTGTGCGTGACCGCTGTAGTCATGCCCACTGATTTGGCAGAGAAACGCTGCTGATTAAAAACCGCATGTGGAGATGATTTGATCTGAGACAGCAATCAAAAGACTGGAGAAACGATCCTCGAATCTTCGCTCCTCCTTTTGTACATTCCGTCTAGTAATGAGACGTGAAACCCAACGCGCTGCACGTTTCAGGTGTCAAGGTGAGACACTGCCATCTAATGCGTAGTGCTGTGTATTACATTGCATTTATGGTAAGGTCCACTGATCTGAATGTTTTAAGCATCCTGCTTTGAAACCTCAGACACATAAAACAATCGAAAACATCTTAATGTATGAATTAAAAAAAAAAAATCAGACACTGGACTGAAAACAATCCTGTAACTTTATTCTTGCTTAGAACAGTTCATGAATTTGATTTTATGAAAATGCAATATGAGTGACAGTGATGTCCTAAGCCTGACATTTAAAACATTTAAAAACAGTCTGTGCAGTGCTGTGAAAAAGTAAGAACACAATCTTTAGCAGCAATACCTTGAGGCTTTCGGTGTGACAGTCTCTCACATTGCTTGGAGGGAATTTTCATCCATTATTTGCTTCTGTTCATTGAGGTTTGCAGATATTTGTATATGCACAGCTGTCTTAAAGTCCTACCACAGCATTTTAATGAAAATGAGGTCTGGACTTTGCAGCAGCACTTTGATTATTTTCTTTTTCAGCCATTTGCTGCTGTACTTGGGATTATTGTCCTGTTTTCTGACCTAATTTAGCTGTCAAAAAGATGGCTTCACGTGATCTATAGAGCTCATGATTGACTCAATGAGGTGTCCAGGTGCTGCGGCATCACCCTTCCACCACTGCGCTTGACCTTTAATATGAAGTGTTTGTGCTAATGTGCAAATATCTCTATTTTAGGCTAATTTGTACAAAGGACGTCTTATTGTTTGTTCAGATCCAGCTTTGTAAAACCTAAGCTGTGCTACCATACTCTTTTAAACAGAAGACGATTTTTCCTTGCAAACCCTCGAAAAAGTCATGCTTGTTCAGCCTTTTTCAGTCATACCTTCATGAACTTTAACATTTAACCTACTAACTGAGGTCTGTAGAGTGTGAGATGTAGCTCTAGGGGTTTTTTACCCTTCCTCTGAGCATTTCACTGTCTGACCTTGGTGTGAATTTGCTGGGGCGTCCACTCCTGGGAAGATAGCAGCGTAGTGTTAAAACATACCTGAATGGTCCAGACCAGCAAACTGTCAAAAACATCTGCTTTTTTTTAGAGTTGCCCGCACTTACTGGTTATCAGTTAATCAAGTGCATTTAATTCGCCTGGCTAATACTTACACTTCTTACACTTTTATTTCACATGGAAGCAGTGCAGGTCACTCAGTTTAGCCAGCGAAGTGGGACTCGCAGATATTTGAGCCTGTGAGTGTCTGTGAGAGGGCAGAGTGTCTGAAAAGTGTCTGCTGACCTTTTCTTCACCTTCAGCTTATGCAACTTGCCCATGTATACAGACAGGAGGCCGTCACAGCACTTTAGTGCTCACAGTGGTAAACGTATGTGTTACACCGTGTTGCTATCTTTGTACTTCACTGGTAAAATAATGGGCCTCAAATTGTATAGACTTCTCTAAAGTAATGACTAAACAGAGGGGGGGACACACACAATATATAAGCCAAACTATATATTTTGATAATATATAACTTTACACAGTCTAATAACTCCATCTGTGTTTTAATCAGACTGGATTGAAGGTAAACAAACTGGTTTCTAAAAGGTGATCGATACAGAAAAAACCTAAAACATCTCCAGTGCTTGACTGTAAAACATTATGAAGTAAATAAAAATGTGCTTACAGAAACAATCAGAATGGAAAAATACTTTTTTATTTGTTTTAACTTTTTTTTTAAAGCTCAATCAGGTAATTGGCCTACATTTTTCACGAGGCATGAGTTCAAACTAACTTTTTCACTATTTTAAAATTAAAAAGTCAAGCATTTATTCAGATCAATAAGTCGTCAAGTCAAAGTTTATGAGCTAATATAAGACTCGGGCGCCCCCCGTGTGAGCTGCTGCCTTTGGTGGGTTATACTGAACTGAATTAGTGGACGCACTGCAGTCCAGAAAGACATTTTTCTTGAATTCAATCTGTTGGCCAGCTGAGCTCTGAGCTCACTGTAGCGCGTGTTTTCCACTAGAGGCAGGCGCTGTGTCCTGCGTGCCTGCACGGGACAAACAGGCTCCGGCTGGCTTGGCCTCATCAGGGGCGGATGTTTTCTCAGTACAACTTCCCAATTTCCCCACCCAACCCCCAAACCAGACGAGACCCAGGCCCGGACTCAAGAAGTGATCCCCCACCCACCTATCCCCTGAAAGTATATTATTGCGCTTGTCTCTTTCCCACCTCCCTCCTTATCCGCATTTGGCGCTGTGCTACTTTCATCAGCTGCACTGGAAAACCGCACAAACTGGAATCAAAAATCTAGGCAGAAAGTAGAATGACGCTCATTTCCGTCCATTGTAAGGGCTGAAAGTGACTCACATGATCCAAGTGGAGGTGTTAAAAAAACTCAAAGTCGTTTTTTGTTCCTTCTTATTGATAGTTCACACGTCTGTCCTAGGAGTGAAGTATTTCCCCTGCAACTGCGGCAGCTTTAAAGCCTGCAACCCCGCCCCTTCGCACTATCACGGGAATCTAGACTGAAAGCTGGATGTGAAAAAAAAAAGTTTGGAGGTCTCGCAGAAACCACTCTTCTCCTACCAGCTTCCATTTATGCGTTTATTCTTTTACTTTGGGAGGTTTTCGGCTGAGACTTTGCGTCAAACCTGGGTGTC